TTAATTATAAGCTATTAGGGCTAAAGGACCTATAGAGAGGCCTAAAGGAAGGTTATCTCCTTTAGTTAAATTAAGTAGCTTTTTTACTGCCTTTATAGGCCTAAACTTAAATATATAGAAAAAGGGGGTTTTTAATATAGCTAAAAGGGTTATTATAGTAAAGAGAGAGCTGCTTTTAAATTAGTAAAGTATATCTATATATAGAGTTAGATAAATATAAGGTAATAGTAAGGTTTAAAGGTTTAAAGGAATTAGGTTAACTTTTATATAAATTAGTTAGTAAAAGTTAAATTAACCTTTACTAATTAAATATATGTACCTAAATATATAACTAATTAACCTTATATTTAATAATAGTTAAACTAATATTAGTAAAGAAGCAGTGGTTTAAACTAGAGAAATAAAAGTTATAAAGATATAAAGACTAAAGAGGTTATTAATAGAAATATAGAAATAAGATTATATTTAAACTAAATAAAGACTGGCTATATATAAATAAGGGTATAAAGGTAAGTATAGTAAAAAAAGGATATAAATAGTAAGAAAATAGGCTTATTAAAGGAAAAAGTTAATAAATAAAATAGAAAAAGGAAATATAAATAATACTAATTTATAAAATTTATAATAAAGTAATTTAAAGAACGAAAAAAAAAAGAAGATTAAACTATATAAAGTAAGTTATAATAGAAAAAGTATAATAAATATTAGCCTAAAAATATAGATATAGATTATAAAGAATATAAGCTAATAAATATAAAGGGCTAAAGTAAATAAAGTAATAACTTTATATATATTTAATTTAAAACTTTAAAAATTTATACTTAAGAATATAATAGGCTTTAAGCTATAATTTAAATATTTTATAATTAGAAACTTATATAGCTTTAGATTAGACTTTTAATACCTAAAACCTAGGTTAAATAGGACTTAAAATTAAAGTCTTTATATATTATAGATTAAAATAAATAAAGTTTTAGGCTAAAGCTTTTTATACTTTAAAATTATTTTAATATATAAATAGGGAGATAAAGGCAATCTCTTTATAAAAGGTAAGAAAGATAAATAAGGAAATATATTATAGGCTTAGGTTTTACTTAAGCCTTTATAGGACTATATAACTTAAGGGTTTAATTTAGATTAAGGCTAGAACTTAACAGTATATAAGGAGATTTCTATAAAGAATCTCTTTCTTTTCTTTAAGTTTAATAATATTAATATTAATATCCTTTCTATTTTTTTTATTTTTTAATTATTTTTATTATTATTAACTTCATAAGGCTATTAAGCTTTTAATTTTATATATAAAGGCTTAAATAATAAAGCCTTTATAATAGGACTATATCTTAAAGGTTAAAATTATATAAGGTTTATTTACCTTAATAATATAATTACTGCCTTAATTAAGCAGTATTAATACTACCTGCAGGTCTATCTTCAATAGCTATATTAGCCTTCTTTCTTTACCTTACCTAAAAGATCTTAAATTAACCTTTTAAATATACCAGGCTAAGTCTATTATACTTTTAAAGTATATTTCCTAACCTAACTTTCTATACCTATTAATTACAGTTATTAATATTAATTATAACTACTATTATAATACCTATATATAATAGCCTATAGACTAACTAGGCCTATTATATAATTAATTATAACTTTATTAATATAATTAAATTAATACTAATAAAAGCTATAAATTATAAATACTATAAGCTTTATATAATAGCTATAGC